TTTTTGACAATTTGGGGATTTGGGAATTTAAGGATTTGTGAAATTGGGGATTGGAGAATTTAGGGATTTGGGAAATTGGGGATTTGAGAATTTGGGAATTGAGAATTTGGGGATTTGGAGGATTTGGAGAATTTGAGAATTTGGGGATTTGAGAATTTGGAGAACTGATAATTTGGGGATTTGAGAATTTGGAGAATTGAGAATTTGGGGATTTGAAAATTTGGAGATTTTGAGAATTTGGGGATTTGAGAATTTGGAGAATTGAGAATTTGGGGATTTGAGAATTTGGAGAATTGAGAATTTGGGGATTTGAGAATTTGGAGAATTGAGAATTTGGGGATTTGAGAATTTGGAGAATTGAGAATTTGGGGATTTGAGAATTTGGAGAATTGAGAATTTGGGGATTTGAGAATTTGGAGAATTGAGAATTTGGGGATTTGAGAATTTGGAGAATTGAGAATTTGGGGATTTGAGAATTTGGAGAATTGAGAATTTGGGGATTTGAGAATTTGGAGAATTGAGAATTTGGGGATTTGAGAATTTGGAGAATTGAGAATTTGGGGATTTGAGAATTTGGAGAATTGAGAATTTGGGGATTTGAGAAATTGGGGATTTGAGAATTTGGGAATTGAGAATTTGGGGATTTGGAGGATTTGGAGAATTTGAGGATTTGGGAATTTGAGAATTTGGAGAACTGAGAATTTGGGGATTTGAGAATTTGGAGAATTGGGGATTTGGAGGATTTGGAGGATTTGGAGGATTTGAGAATTTGGGAAATTGGGGATTTGAGAATTTAGAGATTTGAGAATTTGGTGACTTGAGAAATTGGCGATTTGTGAATTTATGGATTTGAGAATTTGGAAATTATTGAATTTTGGAATTTGTAAATTTGGGACTTGTAACTTTGAAGATATAAACACTTGAGAATTGGAGCACTGGGAAATTCGAAAACTTGAGAGTTCCAGAATTTGAAGATTTAAAGATATAGAGATTTGCCAAGTGATTACTTCAAGATTTCATACAATTGAAAATCTCGAATTTGGTAATCTTGCAATTTATGGATATTAAAATTTGATAACTTAAAAGTTGGAAAATCTGAGACTAATCCCAAAGTTTATAAACTGCAGAATTTAATAAATTTCTAAAATCTATTAAACACCTATAATTTTTGATCAATACATAAAAAGAAATATCATTGTTTTCATAATATTTGTGGTTATCAAAGTGTTAACAATCGATTCATCTGACTGTGACCATGATCGCGATAGCCAATCGTGCGGAGAAGTCTAAGAAGAAATCGTCTGGATGATTTATCGATCTCTCTAAGAATCGCGTGATATGCTGCCTATGTGATAAAAATAGACAAACCAAGTTGATGATACGAACTTTGTACGTCTAGAAACTACAGAATTACAAAAAGTGTTAGTAAACAAATGAACGAATTATCAATTTCTAATTTTATATCCAGAGTTATTTGCATATTTCCGAATTGTCAAAGGTTAGGTTAAATTATACTTTGGTTAAATAATTAAATAACTAATTAGTTTAATAAGTTACGCTTAAATTTGTTCAAAGTTGCTTAAATGTGATCAAAGAATTAAACTCCTCTTTTCAAATTCCTCAATGTTCAAATTCCCAAGTCCTTAAAAATCCCAATCCTCAAAGATTAAAAAGATGGAAATCCACATCTCAAAATCCCCACACTCTCAAGATTCCGTACTTTATCCTTACAACAACAATTCCCTATCTTATCACATCTCCACCTACTGCAAAATCACTTTTGCTCATCAATTCCATGAAATAATAAAAAACATCAAAATTCGAAAATGCAGATAAGTAAGTCATTAGCTTATAACTGTATTAGCACTTGGGTCAGACAGAGATAAAATCATACAAACATTGTCGCAATGTTAGACAATCAAAGAATGTCCAGATGTTAGAAACATTAGGACATGATCATTGTTAAACGCGTTATAATTAAAATCATAATGAACTTGAAATTGAATCCTGATACAAATATAAGTCAAAGTCACTCTTTAACCGTTATGTGCGGCACGTGTCATATTATGCAAGGGTTTAAATCAATTATACCGCCCTGACAAAATAATTTTAAGAAAAAAAAATACGCCGACTTCGAAATGCACTAAAAAGTATAAAATAATTTCTATTTCCTAATGAACTAATTTCTATTTCATTCAATTATACAATTACGTAACAGATATGAATGAAACCTATTTACTCGTTAGGTAGTATATTAAATACATTTCAACCTTCTCGGAGGCAGCGCAAAATTAAAAATACCTCAGTAAACGTTGCTGTCAATAACCAGTTGATTGTGGTATGGCGTATTGGAAATTAATAAATCCTGAGAAAGAATACGAACCATTATAGATATATCTGGTAATATACGTAAATGTAACGACTGCATCTTCATTTCGCAACGTTTCTGATATAAATGAAATTGAATCGACTTTGTTCGCATGTGGAAGTCATGGATCTAAGAACCTATAAACGGAGCCCACGACGCGGGAATTACTAAATTTGCGGCAGATGGGCTCTATCTTTATAGTATATGCGGCGATCGAGTCTTTAATATTCAAATTGTTTTCATCAGATAAGCAAATTAAAAAATTCCCACACTCTCAAGATTCCGTACTTTATCCTTACAACAACAATTCCCTATCTTATCACATCTCCACCTACTGCAAAATCACTTTTGCTCATCAATTCCATGAAATAATAAAAAACATCAAAATTCGAAAATGCAGATAAGTAAGTCATTAGCTTATAACTGTATTAGCACTTGGGTCAGACAGAGATAAAATCATACAAACATTGTCGCAATGTTAGACAATCAAAGAATGTCCAGATGTTAGAAACATTAGGACATGATCATTGTTAAACGCGTTATAATTAAAATCATAATGAACTTGAAATTGAATCCTGATACAAATATAAGTCAAAGTCACTCTTTAACCGTTATGTGCGGCACGTGTCATATTATGCAAGGGTTTAAATCAATTATACCGCCCTGACAAAATAATTTTAAGAAAAAAAAATACGCCGACTTCGAAATGCACTAAAAAGTATAAAATAATTTCTATTTCCTAATGAACTAATTTCTATTTCATTCAATTATACAATTACGTAACAGATATGAATGAAACCTATTTACTCGTTAGGTAGTATATTAAATACATTTCAACCTTCTCGGAGGCAGCGCAAAATTAAAAATACCTCAGTAAACGTTGCTGTCAATAACCAGTTGATTGTGGTATGGCGTATTGGAAATTAATAAATCCTGAGAAAGAATACGAACCATTATAGATATATCTGGTAATATACGTAAATGTAACGACTGCATCTTCATTTCGCAACGTTTCTGATATAAATGAAATTGAATCGACTTTGTTCGCATGTGGAAGTCATGGATCTAAGAACCTATAAACGGAGCCCACGACGCGGGAATTACTAAATTTGCGGCAGATGGGCTCTATCTTTATAGTATATGCGGCGATCGAGTCTTAAATATTCAAATTGTTTTCATCCGATAAGCAAATTAAAAAATTGAAGATGCGATCTCCGAGTGTCGGATCGAAAACGGCTTCCGTTCGAAACCGATCGAAGCGTCGCGACGGCGACGTCGAACACCGGTTCGAGTTCCAATAATCGCTGTCCAACAACTTGGTCACCGCGGTTTCGCGATTGAGTAATAATGGAAAGTAACCGAGACACGCACGACGAGGAAGCAAAACGAGGAAAAAAGGCGAAACGGATCGACGTCGAAAACGTAGGTAATTTTTCGCGACCTCGTTTTATCAGTTACACGTGACACTTAATTCAAGTTTAAATGACTGGCCGCTGAGTCAACGCTTGAAACGTCCCACGATTGCGATATTTGGTGCACGAATTTGTCGAAGGTAAAAAAAAACCACGTGGCGACTGCGTGTACGTACATAAATGGCTTCCATGCACGTATTCTTATGCATGCAAATCGAAACGCGAACGTTGAACACTGCGACGCGAGAAAAAAATTCGCATTTACATTTACATTTGCGTGCACCATTGAACTCGTGTTCCGTCTGCGCTCCATTCGTAAATATTTGATTTCGTAATTGCTCCGAGTGATCTGCATAGTTTGATCGGTTTCCGCGTGTTCGCGCTTCGTGTCGAGCCGCCATAACTGTTTGCGCTCCGATTTTCGAATTAATATTTTGTAACAGCGTCTCTCCTTGCGAAACTATTATTTTCACTCTGAGAATTTCCATGTTCCAAATTTATATTTAAGCGAATTGCATTTGGGGTTTACATTCAAAGCTTTTTTTAATTTTCTTAATTTTACTTATATGTTATACTTATAGCATGATTTTTAAATTCTTTAAGGTATCTAGTAAAAATATTGTTATTTATGAATTTAATGCAAATTTAAAGTTAAGGTTGCTTAACCATGCACTGAACGTCAACGGACCATTGAGTGCCATTTTAGAGTCATCGAGAATCTTTCAAGTTCCATTTCCGATAAGTCTGCTAAATTTTGGTGAAACTAGCATTTCTCAGCAAACTATTTTTAATCAAATTGTTTTAATGAAATAGTTTTTCTCAAAATAAGTGTTAGACTTAAGTAAATAGAGATGGTTGACATGGCGCTAGAAGTGTCAATGTTGCTATTTGTGAAATGAGAGTATTGCGCCGAAAAATGGAGAACAGCCCCGAGCGTCGTTTCAATAATTTTGCTAGCGCCGCTTTTGATTTCTCTTTCGCGATGTCTCACGTCTATTAATACGCTTGTCGCGGTCAAGCACACTTCCGACCGCGATTTAATTAAATTCTCGCTCGATCAGATGACTGTGATCGACGATGTAACCGTTAATCCGTCAATAAACCTGTTTCGTCACCGGTTAGCTGCGAATTTTTAACACGGAGCACGGTTACGTAACGGCAGCGGAACGAAGAGGACAACGATCGAAAATCGAAAAGTAAGAAAAGTGTGTGAAACTCACCTGAAATTTGCCCCCGTGAACCGGCGCTCCCTGGTTCTGCATCTTGTGCGACATCCTGGCTAAAACTCACGATCGACTCTGTGCCCGATCAAATTCCTGATCCGTAAAGGTCTCTGGCAAGCTGTGCGTTTATTCTGGTTCTAACGAGCTTTCTCGGTCGATCGAAAACGAGTCGATGTCTCCTCGATGTCTGGTCCTGGTGAATCGTCCTCGATTCACCCACACACGCTCAGCGTTATCCCAGGTGAACCGCGTGTACCACAAATATCCTTCGATAGAATTATCCAACAGAAACGTTTCGACTCGGTGGACGGCCGTGTTAACACTGATCCTGCTCCTTTCTTTACCGACTTTCTTCAACGATTTCTCTTTGCCTGCGTCTCTTGGCCGCTCGAGGGATGTGGCCGGACTAAAGGGATCCCCGAGGATCGGGGGGAGAGAGAAGCGAATAGGCGAAACTTGCGGAGAGGAGGGATTAGCAGGGAACGATGAGTCGGGGTGCAGGTCAGAACGTGGTGGATCGTGTCGTTTCGGGACAAGCGTGCATGGAGAACGATGTTGAAGAGATCTGTCCGGTCCCTGGAGAAGCGTCGCGAGCGTCGAAGAGACTCGGCTAGGAATGACGAGCCACGACGTGGGAGGCCACGGGAACCCGCGGTTCCGTCGCCTCTTTTCTCCCACTCTTCTTCGTGGCTGTGCCTCCTTCGTCCCTTTCCGCGTAACCTACACACTCTCGTCTCCACGCACACATACACGAATGCTGAACGACCTAACTGTGCTGCTCACACGGTGACTATGCTTATCCTCCCCACCAGGTCCCACACAACCTCGAACCCCCACTGTACACCCTTCCGATCACGGTCAACGCTCACTTCTCTGGGTTCTCGGACGATGTTCGCCACCTCTACCAACGACACCAACCACCACCACCACCAACGACAGGGTCGACGTCAATTCCACCACTTCTATCGTCATCATCATCGCTGGCGTCGTCGTTGTCGTCGTCGTTGTTACTGTTGTTGTTCTTGTGTTCTTCTTTTACTCCTTTCTAGCTTTCTCTCTTTTCCCACCATCGCTCCCTGCACAACGATCCCCGGTAACGTTGTCTTCGTCCCTCTTTAGGTCCCCCACTTCAACTGCCACTCTTTTTTTCCTCGTTTTCTTTCACCCGTCTCCTTTTTCGTCCGCGAAACCATTCCACCACTCCCATCGCACATGCCAAATCCATTTACGTCGAACGCGTTTCTGCATCATTATCCGTCTATCGGGTATAATCGGATATAATCGTCTCGCCTCGTTGGTACCCGGCCGCTACAGGATCAAGGTTAACTCGTTCGAGACCAAAGACGCACCGTGCAAGTACACTTGGCTGCAACCGACGCGTCCTTTGAGCCAGAGGATGGATGGGAAACGAGGTCCTACCTAGTTTTTTTTTTACGCTTTCTAACATTCTTTTTAACCTTACTAGGCTAGGACTTCTTGCGTGGGTCGGGACTTGATTTTAGAAATGATAATTTCTTGTGGCTTAATGTTTCAAGATTCAGAGTCTCCAAAATTTAGAAACTTCTAAAGAAACTTTTAAGTTCAAACATCTGACAGTTGTAAATTTTCAAGGTCTAAAGGATTAAAAACTTAAAAAATGTCAAATATTAAAATCCTAAGACACTGAAGTTTAATAATTCTCAAGTGCAAAGTTCCAATATTAGAAATAAAAATAAAAGCAGTTTCATGCTACGTTTGAATGTTTTGTAGCTCAATATTCAGAACCATAAGCCTGAAATTATTTTGTGACTGTATTATTACAATATTATTACAGCATTATTATAGTCTGGCTATTACGGTCCGGTCCCACGGGACTCTTTGGCCATCTTGCCCTAAGTTCACCATATTTCCTGGTTTTTCCCAAGATCGAATAAAATAGCGCAATAAAAATAGTGTCTTTTATACTCATTTTAATTATCTGATCATCTACATTTTACTTGAGTTAATATTTTATGTGCTTATACAATTGACGACGCACCTGGTGCGTAATACTAAATTATATTAAAATAGTATCATATTAAAATTCATATATTGTATGCTCGCTACGAGATGAATTCTATCCAATGTAAAAAACGAGACTACTGTCCTTGTTCTTCAATTTAATTCCTAAATATGATTGTTGTAAATAATTGTTTCTCCACATTGAAAATAATTGAGAAACCAAGTATACGCTTTCTGTTAAAAAATTAAATAATTACTTGAAAAATTCTGTCCACCATCATTCTTTTTTCTATTTAGTATTTATTTCGTAGGTAGTGAATTATATGTATACACATGTACACATATTTTGTGATATTGCGAGTCCAGTTGTACGTTCCGGCAATAAAATGAATATTCTAATAGAATTACATGAATTTTTTACGGTCTCAATGGACATGAAAAATGAATATCATGAAAGAAGGTCAACGACGCAAGAATCGTCGATTACGACAAAATATCGTACAGTTCGCACTCCATTTTTGTGCATAGCGGTTTGGGATGCATTGTATAATGTGTATAATAGGATACAATTGACCTTCACGGTTTCATCGACCAATAACGATGAAAAAGTTTGAAATATTACGAGAATTTCCAACATGTGACACAGAAACACGAAGTCAGCGCGTGTCAGTAGAAAAATGACGCCGATCGGAGTAAGGTTGGCGCGAATCTTCCGTTTGTAGAATACGCAATAACTGCGAAATGCAATAAAACGAAATATTTCTGTAATCAACGTTCTTTAATTCATGAAGGCAACAATGCGCGATTGACAATGAAATTGTGCTTTGAGAAATTTTTGATAATGAGACTTTGGAATTTTTGATGTTTGAAAGTGGTTGGGTTTTAGAATTTTGGGATTTTAGGACACTCAGATATTGGGGTTTTGGAAATTTTGGATTTGGGGAATTTTTGAACTTTTGGAATATTTTGGAATTTAGGAATTTTGGAATTTTGGAATTTTGGAATTTGGGAATATGGGAATTTGGGAATTTGGGAATTTGGGAATTTGGGAATTTGGGAATTTGGGAATTTGGGAATTTGGGAATTTGGGAATTTGGGAATTTGGGAATTTGGGAATTTGGGAATTTGGGAATTTGGGAATTTGGGAATTTGGGAATTTGGGAATTTGGGAATTTGGGAATTTGGGAATTTGGGAATTTGGGAATTTGGGAATTTGGGAATTTGGGAATTTGGGAATTTGGGAATTTGGGAATTTGGGAATTTGGGAATTTGGGAATTTGGGAATTTGGGAATTTGGGAATTTGGGAATTTGGGAATTTGGGAATTTGGGAATTTGGGAATTTGGGGAATTTGGGAATTTGGGAATTT